GCTGCTGCCGGCTTCTTCGCTCGGATAGTCACCCCAAACGTCGAGAAAAATGACAGAAGAAGATTAACAAAACCCCTCTGACTTAACTCAACCGGAATATTTATTTTGAAAAATTTATTGAATTAGGGAACAGGAAGCCCGCTAAATAAAACCAGCCAGGCTGGCATTTGTCTTCCTTGCGCTATGGCACTCTCTTTCAGTCATGTTAATGTTTAGCTCCTCTTTTTTTTTCCCATTTTTATGTATTTATTTTTACAGAGGGCCCGGGGTATGACTAAGATCATTACATGTGTAACGCTGCAGCGAAGCGATAATGTGTTTAAGGTTAAATGGGAGAAACATGACATTTGACTAATAAACTTTTTCCTGTGTTGTGACTTCATAAACAAAGGGAAACATACTGTGCTGCTGATGCCGAGAGGAAAGGGGATCTGGGTTTTTTTTTCTTTTTTTTTTGCACGGCCTTTGTCTCCTGCACACTGCACCGTTCGCTTCAAAGAGGTGCTGCCGAATACAACAGATATGAAATGTGCGACGTTCATTTTAAAATTACAAGTACAGCCTGCTATTGACCATCTAATTATGCTGAGTTCCATTTATAAACATAGCTAACCACTAAGTTTATAGAGACTTTTTGTGCTGCTTTAATAGGATATTGATCGAGAGCAAGGTTTGAGTGGACTGCCATTGAATTGTGTAATGGCATACAAAAGGCAAGGTCACGGCAACTGTTCATTCTATGCCTGCAGTCTATTTTTTATTATAATCTTTTTTTTCTTCCTCTAACGCCCCAGCCCAAACAGTGCGTTTTGGAGAGCGGTGCTTTGCTAAGGAATACAGACTATCTTTTTAAATGTTAATTTTCCTGCTGCTGACTTTAACTACCTTCACTTCTGTAGTGCTTAGTATAGCAGAAAACGTGCGGGCTGCTGTTTAGGGGAAGCTGTTTTATTAGGTACCGGCCTTCACAGGCGTGCTCAGCACTGGGGACGCGTGCGGGGAAGGAGAGCCCTTGCTGCTCTCCCTTGGCCCCGGCACCTGCAGCCCCCGGCGGCTCCCGGGGCGGCCCTGGCCCTGGGCTCTTGCTGCAGTGGGCATCCAGGACGTGGTGGGGCTCGGCAGACTTTGCTGCAATTCTCTTTGGATTATAGCCGGCCGCTTCATCAAGAGGCACGGGGAAGCTGTGTTTCCTCAGTCGCACCCACGCTCCCTGCTTGGAGCGGTGGCATTTACTTCTATTTATTTCGAGCATTCGTCCGTCTTCCTCCCAGCGACGGCAGCCTCAGCTCCCCGCCTTCAGCCGACCTGCGGCTGGTTTTAACCCGCTGCACTGGAGCGTCCCACGTCCTCTCCCCTCGGCCGCCCTTACCCGCACGGCAGTTGATTTTCCTCCGCCGCCTTAAGCAGCAGCAAGCACCCGTGTCCCCCAGCTCTGCAGCCCGGCAGCACCCCTCCGCGCAGCCAGGCTACGGCACGCCGGCAGCCAGATGCAGTAAATGCTCAAGCATTGCTAAAGCGCCCACTAACCACAGAGTCCGCCTGCCAGTCTGACATCCGGTGTATCCAGCATCCTGGGTGTTGCGAGATCCCTAGCTTTTCAAAATGCCTTTGCCACAAAATCACCTGCAATCTCTGGAATTAGCTTAAACGTTTTAAGGATAATTAGCATAGTCATTTCTGTATAAATACAGAAATCTGGTATGCAACTGCATGTAGGCTTGTGTGCTTGTGGTTTCACTGGCTCATTAAAAGGATTACAAATCACCCCACTTGCTCCATACAGCTACTCACTCCCCACAGCTAACACCCTGAAGTGTGGCATTTCCAATCCAGGGTGCAGTCAGAATTCCCTTGTTTATCAGTATGAAGAATGATGTCACTTTGACAAATAACGTGGCACAAAACAAATATGTTTGATTTGGCCCTAGCAAATGTTCATAAATCCTAAATCTTTCTTCACGTCCCAGGCAGCGCAGTATATCTGGCTGCTTGAAGGTTCTCCAAGAGAGGAGATCTTGTCAGCAGCTCTCTACGCAAGAGTACATGGTGCATGCACACTCGAAGCTAACAGGGGAATAATGTTCTCCCTGCTGCTCTCTCTGCTCCAGCCTGCCACTGCCTTGCCGTGTCTGCCAAGTGAGGGCTCTCATGTACAGGACTGTTGCTAATAGAAGTGGACAAGTCACCATAGCCTCCTGTCTGCAGGCACCTTTTGCAGAAAGTAGTCTCCAGTGCCATGGAGATAGCTGCACGCAGTAAGTGTAACATTTTCCTAACAAGGCTAGAGAGGGAGAAGGTTTTGCTTGGTTAACACCAGCAAATTGGCTGGTTCAATTCACGAAACCTGTGCATCTCCAATGGACCTATGGGACCCAAGACCCTCTAGAAGTTCTCACCAGCCCTAACACAGGCTGAAAATACGTTGCTTTCACACTGCTTTCACCAGCGGGCAAAGAGCTTCTTTAAGGAGTATTTAAAAAGTAGCTTCAGGCTTGACCAACCATACTCATATACATCTCCCCAGTCCTGCTTCTGAGCTTTTCGTTCTCAGCCTAAACCTTTCTATACACAGAAGTTTGAAATCTCCGCTATCCAAAGGGGTCTTGCTCTGTATCTCTTCTGGGGTGAAGAGATAACACTCACGTTCCTTTATCTGCTCATAATATAAGAGAATTGACAACATAATCTGCAGCATCCACATCAGATTGGGTGAAGAGTGAAGTATCTGTTTTTCAGATGAGCATTTATTATCTACTTTCTCTATTTTAGTAGGCTCTGCAAAATTCAAAAGCTGGGTAGTGTTTTGAAAGAAAATCCACAGCTATGGGACTGAAGAAAGCAAGTTTCTGTTTCCAGAGCAGTCTAGGCTTGTTCAATAGCTCATAGAAATTGTGATGATTGGCACTGATGGATAGATAATGGTAATAGCTGACCTTTCACTTGATTAATTCATTCCCCAAATTTGCATGACTGAGACTCCTTGTCATGTGGACCTCTGAGAAGTTAACTAAATAAACCTGGCACATAATTACTACCAACAATATCTAATAAGATTAATTTTAGATAACAGCAGCTAACCAAAGTCAGTTAAAATGGTGGGAAACCACATATTTCTATCATCATAGTATCAAAATCAAGCATGGAAGGAATCACAGTGGGCATACACAAAGATGACCTCTTTGTAAAGGAAAGTCAGAAAGACTCGGGAGACTAAACATGAGGGCCCACTAAGGATAGGCAAGTTTGTTGCTTCCCTAGCCTTGATTGCCTTTAAAGATGCAATGGCTTGTTAGAAAGGAAGACAAGAGACTGGACTGAGGATATTTTCATTGCTCAAGCTACAGACTGCTAATCACTGCAGGGGAGGCTGGATGATGGCTGTTCTTAAGCTAAGCTCCCCAGCACCAAAGCAACCCATGGACTGGCCTCAAATCAAGCCACAAGTATTCATAAACAACCAGCAAGGGTTACACGGAAAAGGGTGGTCTTCAAAAAAGCCTTACACAGCAATTCAGGCAAATATGCAACAATTAATCTGTTGCTCTGTTACGCTAAATAATTCTTTGAATATTAGCATGCAAATTCATACTGACCGCACTGGGAATTTGTTGGTAGACACGACACTGAACATATCCTACTGGGTAACCACACCATGTCAGGCTGTGTGGGACTTCTCAGACCTCACAGAGTAAACAAGGTTATGGCTGGTCAGGACATGTCTGGGGCATCTCCAAGGAAAATCCAGGGTGCTATCAAAAGTAGTGTAGCTAATTCAGTCGCTGGCACTCTTCCCTCTGAGTCAGTTCTGAAGTGATATCCCAATATGCTTTGGGGATACTATTTTTGGTGGAGGTGCTGGCTTGAGGACAGGATATAAAACTGAGGTCTTGACCTCCCAGGATTATTAAAGAGCCCATGAAAAAGAGTGCATGCCCCTGTGGCTGGAAAAGATAAAAGCTGAGTCTTTTCATTTTGCCTACCAACATCTCCTCGCTTATCCCAGATGGAGGTAATGCCTGTCCCGCTCTTTCTGTGTGCGGTTGCCCTACTCCTTAGAGGTGGCACATTTCAGTGGCAAGCAGAGGGATCGCCTCAAACACAGTTCATATTTGTTTCAAAATGTGTTGAATGCCAGGATTTTTGGTAGACAATGTTTTTGTTTTGTTACGATAAAATACTATCGAAAATTAATAAGCATGAAATGTGATGCTCCTGAGGTCAATGCCAAACACACAGGAAGGCTGTGAAGGCTGTTAAGTCATGAACTCGAGTATTTCTAGCAGCCCTGTGGTGTGCACGCATGAAGCATGGCTGACAGAGTCCAGAGGCAGCTCTGATGTGTAGTGCTCTGACAGTGAAGATAAGATTGTGGTAAAGTGGGATGCCTTATAGAGGGGGAGGGTGAATCCTTCAGGCTTCAAAAGCCTTACAGTCTCACACTGAAATAAAGTGACATAAGATGGGGATGTTCAGAGAGAGACGATAATATGGTTTGGTCCAACATGGCTGGAGGTACTCAGCGAGCTAGTGTACTACAGTAAAGTGAGTTAGGTGTCAAAGTCCCTATTTAAGCACCTCAGGAAGTGAACTGATTTTCAAATGTGCTGAGCACTCAGCAGCTCCTCTAGACTTCTAAGTCCTCTTTGACTTTGTTCTTCTAACAAAACTCCCACCAGTTTTCAACTGGGGAGAAATGTCTGCCTCAGACAAACGTCTGGTGACCAGGTATCTCCTACTCTCGGTGCTTTTCTTGTGGGCATCCTATTTTTCAATAGAAAGCTAGTTCACTAGTTTGACAGAGGTGCAAGTCTTTGTCAAAGGCGAAACAGAAAAAATCCTTATAGAAACTCTGTGCTGAGACTCAAAAACACAGATTCTCTGCTGAGGTTGTGCCAGTTAAGTACCATCCCACGAAGGACTTAAACTGGATGTGCAGAGCCAACATACAAGCAGATATTCACACTTCTAGGAGAAGAGCCATTTTTGTCACTGGCTGTACTAAACAGACCTGGTTACACACCCTAAGGTTTTAAAGGGAAATGTAGTTGAGTGATTTAACTGTAGCAGTGATAATTAGTGAGAATGTAATGTTATTGCATAGCTCTACACTAGCTGCTGAAAAGATCCACAAAGGACTAGTCCTCAGGCCCTGGTTTAGCAGTAGTCTCTCTACAAGAAACTGTCCATACTCTCTCCTTGGACTATCTGGATTATGTCATAGCAAAACACAATCAATGCACCTTTGATCAATGGAACAGGGTGGTGACAGGTGCTCTTAATTCACTGTTGTTAGTGAGTATTGACAAGCCTGTAATGATCATGCTGCAGTGTGTCATTCATGCTGGGGGCATTAGCATTCTTTAAAGGTCAAAAAACAAATCCTTCTAAAAGACAGAATTCCATACAGTTGAGGCAAAATGTAGGCCTTGCAAAGCTGTCTTTGAGCAAGTGAGATTATCAGAGCTGTAGCCGGTATAGTCATTGGTATTATTCACAAGCTCATCAGTTTGCAGGTGTACAAACACATGTATGCATGGCATGGAGGAACGCGATGCCCAAAACTGGCACAGGGAAAATACCTACCTCATGTGCACGTGTGGTGTCATTTCTAGAAGTCTAGTTGAAAGACAGCCTTGGATCCTGCAAGGGATCCACGGCAATCTGATCTGCAGAGGCACATCGCCGCACTCGTACAGAGCCTGTCTGTTTTCTACGGAGTACCACCACACTGGCTTATCAACTTCCACATACAAGTTTGCAGGATTATGACTTTTTAAAAAATATTATACTTTTTTTTCCCCACATTAACAGACATGGCAAATAAACATTCTCCATTAGAGTGAAGTAGGGAGAAGAGACACTCAATTTCCAAGACATTGTTTCTGAATTGGGGAAGGGGCATGACAAGAATCAAAGGAAAAAAATGGGGATTGCAAAAACCACATAAACCAGCCACAAAATGATACTTACTTTGTGAGACTCTTACTAGCTCAGTCACACTGAAAACACCTGATGTGACAAAACTGTCCTGGAAGCCCAAATGTCCTACAAAACAAACAGAGTGAGAGAACTGCGATTAGCTTTAAGCATTTAATGACAGTATTCTCAAATACTTTAGTTTCATTTAGATTTAAAATGTGACATCTAATTTCCCACTTAGCACTAATTATTGTTTATGTAGGTGGGTAACTAGTCATACAGCTATGTAGGCTGCTTTGTGGTTTCTATCTAGAGGTTAGGAAAGCTAACATGACACATCAGCAGGGAGATTTTTACATGTTAAAGCATCTCAACAGGAAATCTGAAACAAAAGAGGACTATTTTAATAAACGGTTACCTTGGATGACCCCTAATGACTTCACAATTGAAATGAAAATACTGTACCTAGGAAACAGACAGGACAGCTAAGTTCTATAATCGTTTTAAACATTATTCTCTAAAGAAACATCTGATCGGGATTATCTACCCATTCATTCAAACAAAACAAGATTTAAAGATGTACTCTTCATTTTCTAAGGTTACACTAGGGAAATCTTAAAATAGCAGCTGGTAAAAAAAAAAAAAAACCTACTTTAAAATGAATTCCTTTCCCATAGAAAAAAAAAAAACCCTAATATTTAAAGCAAACTTTGGAAAAGAAAAACAAACCTCTGCATAAGAAAACTATTGAACGAGAATGCCTGTAGGATGCAGGGTGCAGCTTCCATGCCCGTCTCCTTTGCGCAAGCAATGCCTCTACACTTTGTATCAAAATGTTATTACACTTTACATAACAGCGTTTTCCTTCTTCTCTGAAAACATGTCTACCACCAAATGTTCATTTAATTTTCACGGGTGTGATCAATTACAAAAGGAGCAGCTTTCAGGCTGCAACCCCGGATAAGTGCATGGAGTGGGATACCGCGGGTCACGCAGGACATCTCCGGACTTCAATTAGAGGTCTGCAGTTAGCAGGCCAGACCGCCCTCCTGCTTTTGAAATCAGGGTCAAAGGAGAAATCTCAGGATAAAGAGATTATTAAAAGAACTGTAAAGTCCTGCTTGTCCACAGGATAAGTGCCGCACCTTTTAAGGATGTCCTACTTAGAGCCACTGATTCTAATGCACGCGCACATATATTATTGAATGTTTCGTAGGGGCACCATCTGCTCCGCAGTTACTGTTTGTCAGATTCGGTACGATTTCCCTACGTTCAGTGCAGTCTCTCATACCCCACGCTCACCCCGGCAATCCCCGAGCACCTTCCCGAAGCGAACTGAGCAATATGACTAATGTAAGCTGCACATTTGTTCTCTTGCTTTTCTTTTGGGGTCGTTTCAAAAGAAACATATCCCGTTGCTATGTCTGCTTACAGCATGCAAAGTGAAACAAATGCATCTTGCATTGAGAACTACAGACGGGGGACGTTCCAGAGAACGTGTCGGAGAAAGGCTTGGGAGAGAGCTGGAGGGACGTCAGCGGCCAACCTCCAGCCAAGTCCACAGTAAATTCCCCTTCCTGCACAGATGAACTTCACCGTTCCCGAGAAGATCCTACGGTGCCAGATGAACGCAGTTGCTAAGCTAACAGACTTGAGTCAAGTTTCTACATCAGGCATGTTTTTATACTTCAGCAGTAACGATGAGTTTTCAAATTGTGTATATGTATATCTTTGGGCATCCTTGTGTATGTGTATACATATGTATTATGTACACAAACATGTAAATATACACAAATCTGTCATGCTCCAGCTGTAGATAAATGTACTATAAAATATTGAAATTGATGCTGAAATTCAACACAAACAAATTCTTCAATCTGCAAACAAGGTTTTTATTTACATCAAGAGAATACATTTTTCTCTACTTCAAATGAAAAAAATGTTCTTACAAGCCTTTATTTCCCCTTATTTTCAACTTAGAAATAGCTCTCAGATAATTGTAAATAGTTTTGCCTGATATGTTTTGTATTTCATCATAATAAAGGTGATGACTATGCCGTTCTGCTTTTTAGAAATGGTTGTTGGCCATACGCAATGTTTGTTCATTGACAATTTCCCAAGAATTTTTAATATGAAGATCTACTTTTCATATGCTGCAGCAGACCTGCCTATTGAATTAAATGATCTGTGAATTAAAAATAATTCTCTTAGGTCTTCACTGAAACCACTCATGTGCCCAAAATTAAGCATATGCTTAAGTGCCTTGCTGGATCAGGGCCAGGATGCTTAATGCTCTGCAGTTTTGAGCCCTTTGTGGGGAAGCCAGTCTATGCTATATAAATTCTCATACTGTGCTCATCCCAGTCGTATCTGAGCAACTTCCAGAAGTGCATTCAGCAATACTAAGACCATCTGTCACGTGTGGTTTTTTCACAGCGCACCATATTGGCTCTGCTCTGGTGTCCACTTCCACCTGTATTTCTCAAACAGGTTCCTATCACACTAAGGCCGAAGGTGAAACTTAAATGCTTAACTAAAAAACAAATGACAGCTAGCGTAAAACATGTGGCTGATTCTTTAAGGGGAGGTCTAGAGCCCTTTGTAATCCTACAATAAATACACGATTGTGGTATGGCTAACCACATTACCTTACTCAAGCAAGCACAGGTAACAGCAGAAATGAAAATGCAGCAGCGAGGGTTTCAATGCATTCCAGCTCTCAGTGTCCCAGAGCGTCTGAGGAAACTTGATTAAGTCTAGCTTGGGCCTGCTAACTCTATTATTCATAAGATTTTATTTTGCCAGGTGTGTCTGAAGTGTCCACTTATTTATGTAGGAACATCTCTTACGTGTGATCGTGTAATAGTAATCATTAAACAGCAGCACACAACGAGAGGGACTAGGTTTCCATCCTTCTTTAGTGAAAATAAACATTTCACAAATGAAAGGCGGATTTCACAACTCTCCATTTTGTTATTTGCTTACAAACATTAGGAAATCAAGGACTAATCTTGCCAATCATTAAAAACATCTTGATACTCGCAGAAGGGATGCCCTTGGCTAAGAGGTGGGTGCTGAACTCGTTTCCCTCTGTGGCTGGAATGCAAATTCGCAAGTCAGTGGAACTCCATAAAAGTTCAGATTTGCCTGTATGGCTCAGAGCGCAAAATTCAGACTGTAGTTTTTGCTGAGCAGTCTTCCAAACAGTGATGATAATGCATCAAGAAAATGGCAAAAACCGGATAAAGAAACTAAACAGGTAAAAGAAGAATAGCTGGGAAATAGCGTGATTGACAAAAGATGTAAAAGCAAACATTTTGTGCCTATTAACAAAGGCCAGAATGCAAAAATGTATCAATTTGGCTGTTCCACTTAATTCTGAATGAGAAAAAAATAGGTAAAGTTAAGCAATTACATATGCAGATGGTAGCAGTAAAGAGATCCTTTACTGAAAAGATGATTAAACATCTTGAAAGCTTGCAAGATTTACTTTTCATACAGCACTTTACTGAGATACGTGCACTGTGATACTTTTGTTAAATATCCCAAAGATAGGACATTGAAATTGCTGTATGCGATCTGGTTATCTCTGCAGTTTTGTGCTATAGTCACATTTTGGTAGTAAAGCAGGTGTTCAAAATGAGGATTAGAGAATTCTTACTTTATAAAAACTAACAAAGCTCATTCACTGAAATTCTAGGCATAAATTAAGACACCTGGATAGCAAGGCAGGCCCTGACTCAGCAAAGCAGTTAGAGCACATGTTTAATTTTAATCACATGCTCATTTGCTCTGCCAAATAGAGTTGGGCTGAGAAAGTTTAAGCAGGTACTTAAATATTGTGCTGAATCATTGCTTTCAACCCAAATCTTAGTCCAGCTAAGTCCTTAAGAGTTATGTCATTACACAAGACCTCACTTGAGTCAGACTCAAAAGGATGAACATTTTTTCCCCCAGGGGAAAAAACAGGCTAATAAGCCCAAATTGAATAAAGCACATCCGGATGCTAACTGATAAATAATATACCATTACCCAATCACACATTTGGTATAGTGTAGCAATGATATACAATACTATCATGAAAAATATATACCACATGAAAAACTTCTTGCCATAACTTGATGACTGCTTTAATTGCAGAGAAACTTAATGCAAATTACATATTCTTCTTCTCCATGCCAGTAAAGAAGAAGCAAGAAAAAAAGGCTTCAATTTCTGGAGCCTAATTCTGATCTCACAGAAGTTTTAAAGAAGTCTTCCTACATGAACCAAATAGCATTTCTCCTAATTTTCCCCTAATTTACCCTGGCAGAGGAGAAATCAGGATTAGGGCTTCTTGTCTAATGCCATTTGTTTTGAATTATTAAGCAAACATTCCTATTTCAATGAGTAAACGTGTACAAAGGCAGCTAACCTTCGTCCTAAAATCTAGTTTACAGGGAGAGTATTGTCTGCTTTCCCAATTAATGCTGAAAAAGGAGTCTCAGATGTTGATCTACCAATCAAGAGCTTGTGTTGTAGCTTGAGAAAATCATGACTGATGCAATTACTTTTATGTAGAAAGTCTGAATATGGTCTATAGGTTAAAGTTCATTGGGTTATTGTTCCTTAATTGAATATCAGAAAATGTTTTCAGGGCGCTCAAGGTATTATTGTTATTTAATTAGCAGGTTTACTTAGGTAATCCAACATGATTATTTTTCTGATAAAATAGTTAGATGGCACCATAAATGTATGAGGTATTTTCTAAACAGAGATACAATTGGTTTCCTGAAATTCAAACTTAAATAATAATGGGGAAGAGTTAATCCTATGAAGATGAAAAAGTCCAAATCCAGTTTCTTCTCTTCCACCGCAGTCTGCGTGACAATGTATTAAGCTTCAGAGAGCAGGTTTTTGGGTTAGTTTGATTCATTTACAGTATTTTGAAATTACACGACAGGACCGCAACACTAGCCCCGAGACCATTTCTAAAGCCTTTTTCATGTCCAGCATCTCACTATACATAGCCATCTTACAATCTTAAAATAGTAATAATCAATTAGGGTCTCAAGCTTATTATCTTAACTAAATGCCTGATTAAAAGGAAAAGCCCTCTTTACTCAAAGTGCAACTTGATTCCTTTT